AAAAAAGCAGGATTCAAAATAGAAATAAAGACACAAGAAGATATTGTTCATGATTAGTCCACATATAGGGAAACACCTTGTAGGTTGAATTTTCAGGTTAAATTACGTTTGTATTACCTGCTTTCTTTAGCTTTCGGCAAAGTTCTTTAAAAACATGATAATTTCATCCTTCCCGTTTCGTAAAATTCAAATTTAACGCATTTCATGTTGGAAATTGCACAACATTTTTGTAAATATCCATTGAGCCAAAGTCATGTGGTGCAAATCATATGAATAAAGTATTCAATAGTGTATCATGCTTTCGGACGTAATAAAGCAGGTTCAGTTAGCTTATCTCTATATAATGACTAATGAATTGTATCAAAAGATATAGTTGCTCCTGAACCACTTTCTTTAAATTGTATTTTACTTGGTACAAAGTTTTTTTTTTATATCGTTTACTTGTAAATCGATTTGTCTGAAACTAAATGTTTGAAATCGAATGTGCTTCGTGGAACTTTCTAATTAGCAATCCCTTTATTTATTCGAAGGCCATCAGATTGTTTATGATTTCATTGTCTTTTATGGAAGAAAGGACAACCCGTTGCAGTCTTGTCGACGAATATAACCAATTCTCGAGAATTTGGATGAATCATGATTACTTCTCCACTATGACATTCCTCTCTTGTCACGAAGTACAGGTATCGGAAACGTTAGCGGAACTGTTGGATCTCCAGCCCTATTCAGCCATAGTTCATGTGCGATATAATCTATGTCCGCTATTAATACAGGAAATTTCCGTCAGGGGTTAAACCAAGAATGTTATTTACTGCACTCCAAACACAGCAATTGTAATATCTTTGCCACTATATAAACGACCCTGCAACCAAAGTTTCAAACGCCTGACACTACTGACAGTCTTCTCCCCGATGGACATTTTCAGATAACATTTAATCGATTGATTGTTGGTTGCTTAACGTCCAGTGGCAAATATTTCATGCATATTCAGGACGAGAACAAAATAATAATAAATACAAAAGATAGGTTCTGTAATAGGGGCGTCCGGGGTTAAGGTCGGCGAAATTTAGACTACCACGGGAAAATGAGGGTATATTGGATAGGGACAGAAATTTAGCCTTGCAACAGGTCACCTACGGACCCCTCAAAGAGTAGTTGCAAGGGTTCTTAACGTGCAAAGAGCGTGGCATCGGATTTAACGTCCCCATTCTGACCGGACGTGGCTGCAAATTTGTACATCCCGCACAGCCAAATGGACGCCCCACTTTAGCAAGGGTTTTACTGCCGGTCGGAGGAAGACCAATGGTGACCGTACTTCTATTCCCCAGTCACCCTTGGGGGTAGATAACATTTGATGCTTAGTCCATGTTAGGAACATAAACTACATATACCTTTTGTAAACCTAGGTCCTATCATGCATTAAAACTTCCTAGATGCATCGGTAGATTTTGTGATGTACATACGGCCATTAATTTCTATTTCTTTTAATAAATTTTAATTAAACAATGTTCTAGAAATGGACATAAAAAAAGAGATGATTTCAGCTTCCAAATTGTGAACCTTCCATTTCTATGTAACAACATTCAAGCAGCGCCTGGATACGGAGTATGTATTTCCCAATTGATACAATTGATAGAGGGTTGCTGCTCAGAAGGAAGCTATTAAATCAATAGTTCCAAATGGTGAAGTTGACATCTTCCCTTCGTTAATTTTACGGACGCCATCACGAGTTGGTTGACTGTTATGGAATAGCCGTTTCACAGGTGATCGGATTTGATTTTGATTGTTGGTGATTTAACGCCACTTTTGGTCTATTTCGTGGCGGCCAGTTTTTATTGGTGGAGGAATCCGGAGAAAACCACCGACCTTCGATAGGAAAACTGACAACCCTAGTCAATTAAGATTGGAGTCGAGTGCACCCGCACGAGCGGGGTTCGAACTCGCAACCTCAGTGTTGACTGGCTAGTGATTACAGTAGTAACTACTTAGACCACTTGGCCACCGATGCCCCCAGGTGATATCGGATATGTTCCTTATGTCGTAACTACAATCCCGTTCCCTTTTCACGAATGTGACCTACCGAAATAGACTATTTACCGGGTCTGTAATAACATGAGCAACACGACGGGTGCCACATGTGGAGCAGGATCTGCTTACCCTTCCGGAGCACTTGAGATAACCCCTAGATTTTGTTGGGGTGCGTGTTGTCTAGTTTTTTATGTTGTTTCTTGTTTACTATTATTTGTCTGTTTGTCTCTTTCTTTTTTAGCCTCACCCCAAGGGTGACTGGGGAATAGAAATATGGTCACCATTGGTCTTCCTCCGACCGGCGGTAAAACCCTCGCTAAAGTGGGGCGTCCGTTTGGCTGTGCGGGATGTACAAGTTCGCAGTCACGTCCGGTCAGAATGGGGACGTTAAATCCGATGCCTCGTGTAAAGAGAGTGCCACATTCTTTGCACGTTAAGAACCCTTGCAACAACTCTTTGAGGGGTCCGTAGGTGACCTGTTGCAAGGCTAAATTTCTGTCCTTATCCAATATACCCTCATTTTCCCGTGGCAGTCCAAATTTCCCCGACCTTTATCCCGGACGGCCTTTATTACAGGACCTACCTATTGTATTTATTGTTAATTTGTTCTCGTCCTGAACATGCATGAAATATTTGCCACTGGACGTTAAGCAACCAACAATCAATCAATCTTTTTTAGCCATGGCGTTGTCAGTTTATTTTCGATCATTATTTGATTAGATCTAAAATCAGTATATGGTATATCACAGTTAAATAATGGGTCATCCAGGTCATTTTTTGCTTCCTGCTTTACAACCAAGTGTCCATGGACATGTATCGGCGAGCGTTGACCAGTTACGTATGGCAGTAGCTCAGATACCACTGAAACATGAGAGGTTTTAGACAGTGGAGACTACTTACTAATGAAGAGCAGAGAAACCGAGCTTGCGCAAACACCTGAATCACTACCAAAGTCGCATACATCAACAAATTAAAAAAAAAAATTTTATAATAATATCTTTGTCCTCTTCCGTCATCATCTGTTTAAATCACAGTTTAGGTAAACAAAAATCAGTGAAGCGTTAGGTCATGTAGCACAGATAAAGATCAAGGGACAATTTTATCACCGGTCACACCTGAATCTGTAGAAAATAGTCGGAATTTTTCATTTCCGTCAAACCGGAATCCGGCATATCTATTGTTATGCCCGACTACGTACTGTAGCTTTAACGCATTTCGGTAAAGCATTTGAGCATAAAGACTAATTCGACAGAGACAACTTTAGCACTACAATCTTTGAAGTGGCTCAATGTTGCATTGTTCAGACAGCTCTCAATCTCATCTTTTTGAGAAGATTTCAACATGGTTAGATCTTTTCTAATATTTTCCAAAGCTTGGTCATTAGTTTTGTTATACATGTCAATGTCATTCTTGATTTTTTTCAGTTCAATGTTGTATGTTGCGATGGTAACACCTAACAAGGCTATTTCATTCTGGTTCTGAGATTCATTTTGGTTTTCATCAACATCCGTGTCCATGTCCTTCTTCTCTATTTCTGTCTTTATTGTGTTAATTTCACTTTGTAATTCTATTTGATTTCTTTCCAACTCTTTGTTTTTGTTTTTCAAGTTCACCACTTCCGTTCTTTTTTTTTCATTGTCGTTTATTAGCCCTGAAAGGGCGCTTCTGTTTTCCTCGAGAATTTCTTCTTTGAATTTGTCAAACTTCCGTTGAACTATCAGTTCTAAGTTTGAAAGTGATATACATTCTAAAAAAAAAAGAAAGAGGTGATGGATCAATATGAACTATCAGCTTACAAGAGTGTTTTTAATGTTTTGCTTTGTTTTTCCTGAGCATCGACTATCTGTTCGTAATGGGTGATTAATAACTTTGCAATCATACAATTACTTCGTAAATAGAAAACACGATCTTATCCAAAACCATAGAGTGATCATTTGCGTTTGCCGGATGCGTTTACTTGAATTATTTGCCTAACCCTGATAGCATCACTTAACCTCATCTCTAAACGTATTCTTATCTGCATTTTATAATTTACCTCACCCTCATTCCTCAGACTTTATAATTAGATTTTAGTTCGCATTTTACAGCTTTACCTTATTAGCACTATAACATTTTATTCAACCTTATCCCTATCATTCTCCTGAAACTTAGATATAACCTTCAACCAAACATAATCCCCATCATTACCCTTACAACCTTATATCCTTTGATATATCTTTATACTAACCCGTAATGTAAAACTTATACTTATTGTTTTCCTTAAACTTAACCTAATCTTTATCCATAGACAACAACTTATACTATTCATTAACCATACCCTTATCCTCGAACTACTTTAATATCAAATTCTATTTCGAACATGTCGTTATTAAACGTCAGTCTAAGCCCAATCTTTTTTGTGATCGTCAATGATCCACCTCAACCTCAAAAGAGGAATGGTCGGTGGCCTATAGATGTTAGAATTGAATCAATAATAATTGAACTGTAGTGAATCACCCGATATGTGCCTTTTTTAGAGACAAAATGAAATAACGACATAACATCACCCACATTTTTGATGGGTTTCGTGTTCCTCAATTTTTATGTTGTGTTTGGTGAACTATTTTTTGCTTGTCTTTTTCTTTTTTAGCCATGGCGTTGTCAGTTTATTTTCGACTTGTGAGTTTGAATGTCCCTTTGATATCTTTTGCTTCTCTTTTATGAGAACATAAGATTCGTTTTAGTCGTATAAAATTATGTGTATCGTTCTCTCTTAGGACGATACAGTACGTTATTTCCATTATAGGAAAGGAGGAGGAGGTATTCGATATTATGAATGCAATTATTTTTTACAAGACTATTGAAACTCAAAAACTTCAGGTTTAGGGTTGAGGTAAAAGCGAAGATTCAACTTTCTGTTCAATATACTTATAAAGACAATAAATGTATCTCATGTCTCATTGATATGTTTTGACTTTAAAACTTCGATAGCTTACCACTTTCTGATTCATCATCAGAACTTTTGTAGTTTTCTGTTGATTGTGTTTCAGTTGGGTTTGCCATGACTCAATCTGAAAAAATTAGAAAAACGTTGGTTTGCCTTGTGATAACTCTTGTTTTGAAAACTCAAACTTTCAATTTACATTGCTTTTAGCCAGCAAGTTACCGCTGTTTTAAACCCTAACTTAAGCGACTAATTCGTCATTTAAAACTAAGACTTATCCTTAAACTCTGTATTCATTCTTAAATTTATCCTGGATCACATCTTGCAGTACAACGTATCCCCAGTCATACCATCACTCCTTCCTGTAACATTGCGATGACTCATCTTTACCAATGAAGTTTGTGTTGTTCAATCTCAGTTTTCTATGTAGGCTGTTATTTATTTTTCGGTCGTTCTTCATTTTGCTATTGTATGATATTATCAGTTCATTTTCGACTAATGAGCTTGACTAGCCAATATTTTCCAATTTTTTATTTACCCCAAGCTCTATTCCTAATTTCAGGATTGACAGTAAGCTCAATGTCCTCAGTAAAAAAGTAGAATATGAATATCGTTAAAGTATGTGTATTCAAAATGATACCCGAATGTTATGCTAAACGTTTGAACTTGATAATAATATGAATTAAATAGTAAAACTAGAAAACCGGCAGGTAAATTGGCAGTCATAACTGCTTTTCAGTATAGGTTAAAGCTGACGTCATTAATAATCATTACCGTTTTTAACATTTCTTATCCACAATCTTATTGTTTACGTTGTCCTGATCCACACGCAATTGTTCTATGAAAAATGGTTTTTAATTAACTTATTTTTTCTTTCAATTTATTCTTGTTCCTTTACCCTAAACTTGACCTTATTTATATCATTACTCTAATCCTTGTCCTCAGATAAACTCTTGGTAACAATTTCATTTTGTTCATATCGTATCATATTCCTTACCTTCATCGTAACCTACTTCTCTACGTATGCTTAAGAAAATTTGTGCTTCTTGAAAATTGTTATCAATTGCAAACAAATGGCATCCTGGTTGACTTGAAATTATTTAGTTTTAAATTCTTTATATTTAGCCTTTTATGCCCCCCAAGGGTGACTGGGGTATAGAAGTATGGTCATCATTGGTCTTCCTCCGACCGGCAGTAAAACCCTTGCTAAAGTGGGGCGTCCTTTCGGCTGTGCGGGATGTACAAATTTGCAGCCACGTCCGGTCAGAATGGGGACGTTAAATCCGATGCCTCGTGTAAAGAGAGTGCCACGCTCTTTGCACGTTAAGAACCCTTGCAACAACTCTTTGAGGGGTCCGTATGTGACCTGTTACAAGGCTAAATTTCTGTCCCTATCCAATATACCCTCATTTCCCGTGGCAGTCTAAATTTCTCCGACCTTAATCCCGGAAGCCCCTATTACAGAACCTACCTATTGTATTTATTGTTAACTTGTTCTCGTCCTGAATATGCATGAAATATTTGCCACTGGACGTTAAGCAACCAACAATCAATCAATCAATTTAGCCTTTTATGATTTACTGTTAATCTTTAAGTGGTTATCGGTTTTGCCATGGTTTTGTCAGTTTGTTTAGGACTTATGTGTTTCTGTCTCTTATCTTAACACCAGAAGATATACATATTTACCTTGTTCTTAGTCCATTCAAATTGTATGTGAAGAATATTTCTACTTAATTGTCGTCGTCAAAAACAAAATAAACAACCCCCAAGGGTGACTGGGGAATAGAAGTATGGTCACCATTGGTCTTCCTCCGACCGGCAGTAAAACCCGTGCTAAAGTGGGGCGTCCGTTTGGCTGTGCGGGATGTACAAATTTGCAGCCACGTCCGGTCAGAATGGGGACGTTAAATCCGATGCCTCGTGTAAAGAGAGTGCCACGCTCTTTGCACGTTAAGAACCCTTGCAACAACTCTTTGAGGGGTCCGTAGGTGACCTGTTGCAAGGCTAAATTTCTGTCCCTATCCAACATACCCTCATTTCCCGTGGCAGTCTAAATTTCTCCGACCATAATCCCTTAATCTATTACAGAACCTACCTATTGTATTTATTGTGAACTTGTTCTCGTCCTGAATATGCATGAAATATTTGCCACTGGACGTTAAGCAACCAACAATCAATCAATCAAAATAAACAAAATCAAGACTGTGCAATTGGCAGTAAACTATTAAATCATCAAAGCCGACCTCACAAAAAATAGCTATGTATTCTTCTCCGTTTAACATAAAGTCCAGGACATCTAGGTTTTCATTTTGACAAAAAATGATAGCTTGTCTAAATTCGATATGAGATTCGAATCCAACGAATGCATAAGGATAGTTCAAATATTCCATTATTCAGAGCTCCATCATATCCACCTGATCAATTATACATTTTGTGGAAAAAAAAAGTTCTGTCTAACCCTTACCCTAACCCTTACCCTCAAATATTCCTACGTCAGCCATATCACAACCTTAATATACCCTTCTGTCTAAGTCTACACCCCGATTTTGTCTATAGACCTAACCCTAATCCTTTGGACTTATCCGATACTATATTATTATCTTACGTTTATCAACAATCATTCCTCAATCATATCTTTATTCTCAATTTTTTTTTATGCTTAACCTTACCCTCAGACATAATCTTATACTTAACATTATACCTATCATTACCCTTAACCTTATATCTTTCCTTATCTTCTCCTTTTAGACCTAACATTGTACTTAACCTTATCCTTAAACTAATTATTAAACTTATCCTTATCCTTAGGTGATTTATAATATTGGATTTTATTTCGTACATATCGTTTCTACACTGCAATCTTAACCCACTCAAACGTTTACACAATACAGAAATGCATTGCTTCCATGATAAATGAATATGTATTACAAGTAGAAAGCATCTAATTTTATATGACTTTTATTTAAAAATAATGCAAAGTTTTTGTAAATGCAATACAAGATATTATCCAAAAATGTGGAGTGATCATACATTTCTTACTATTTCAACCGTATACAATGACTTATATTCAACTTTAGACTTCTACTATATTATAATCTTAAGTTTATCAACACTCACTGCTTAATCTTTTCTTTATCCTCAAAAGTAATTTTATACTTCACCTTATCGTCAGACGAAATGTTATAATTATCAATCATTAACCTTAACCTTATAATCATCATAATTTTTGTCCTTAGACGTAATCTTATCCTTAACCTTGTCCTCAGACATAATCGTGTACTTAACCTTAACCATCTCATTACCCTTAACTTCATCTTCATCCTTAGACGTAACCTTATTCTTAACCTTATCCTGATCATCAGACTACTTTAATATTGGATTTTGTTATGTACATGATTACATGTCCAACTTGCAGATTTATAATAGATCTGGTTCTATTCTCTTTTCACTAAACCCATAAGGATACTGCTATTGATTTGTTTATGCATTCAAACCTTATTTATTCTACCTTCATGGACAATGCCTTTTTGATTTTAGTATAATGAAAAAATATTACTTACCAATCTCTCTTGAAGCTACAACCTCGGTACTACTCGGAAAATGACCTGAAAAAAGATAACTTTAATATTGGATTTGGTTTTGTACATGAGTACATGTTCAACTTGCAGATTTATAATAGATCTGGTGTTCTATTCTCTTTTCACTGAACAAATTAGGATACTTCTATTGATTTGTTTATTCATTCAAACCGTATTGCTTCTACCTTAATGGATAATGTCTTTTTAATTTTTCGTATAATGAGAAAACATTACTCACTGATCTCTCTTGAAGCTACAACCTTGGTACTACTCTGAAAATACTAGAATGACCTGAAAAAAGGAATGACAAAGTTATTGAAATCAAACCCTAACCCTAACTTTTTACATTATACTAAACCTTATACTTAACATTATCCCTACCCTTATACTTAGCTTTAACCTTATCTTTATCCTCAGATGACTTTAATATTGGATTTGGTTTTGTACATGATTACATATGAAATTGAGTATAAAAACTTGTAGTTTTATAATAAATCTGGTGTTCTATTCTCTTTTCACTGAACCCATAAAGATACTTCTATTGATTTGTTTATTCATTCAAACCTTATTTATTCTACCTTCATGGATAATGTCTTTTCAATTATCGTATAATGAAAAACGTTACTTACTAATCTCTCTTGAGGCTACAACCTTGGTACTACTCGCAAAATTCTGGAAATTACCTGAAAAAGGGAATAATAAGCGGTATTATATATCAAACAAAGTTTAAATACATTGAGGAGCATGTGTATATAAACAGTACACTAGCCAGTTTTGGACAAACGTACATTCAGGCACACGAAAAGTGTCAGGCAATTTGTTGAATAGTGTCATCAACAAATCAATAACATAACAACACATGGTTTGCTGTTTAAAATGTTTTAAAAAGGTGGAAATCAAAAGATAGGAGATAGAATAAAATCAGTCATTGTGTTTAAAACTTGCATAGAATCAAAATTGTTAATCATTGTTTTACGTTTGGAATCGTAAAAAATCACCTTGGGTTATGGTTAGGGTGAAGGTTAACATAATACTTAACCCTGAATTTAACCGTAGACGTATTTTTTTTTACTTAACCGTATCGTCATCTTTACCCTTATTTGCATTATTAACCTAATCCGTATTCTGTGACGACTTCTCATATTGTACTTATTTTGTACATATCGTTTCTACACCGTATGCTTAATCCAATAATATTTTACATCGTTTACACAATACAGAAATGCATTGCTTCCAAGAGAAATGGATTGTATTGCAAGTCAAAACCATTTTATTTTACTCGACTTAAATTTAGCAATAATGCACAGGTTTTGTAAAATGAATACAAGATCTTACCCAAAGGTGAGGAGTAATAAAACTCTTCTCTGAGTGTTCCTTGTCCGTTTGTCTGATCTACTATCTCAACATTACACAATGACTTATAATCTATAGACTTATTTGCTATTATATTCTAATCTTAAGTTTATCAACACCCACTGCATAATCCTATTGTTAATCTCAAAAGTAATTTTATTCTTAACCTAACCCTTACCTCGTTTCAACACTGCAATCTAAACCCAATCATGTTTAACCTTATACTTAACCTTATACTTATCATTACCCTTAACCTTATACGTAACCTAATTCTTAGATGTTACCTTGTACTTAACCTCATCCTTACCGTCAAACTTATCATTAACCTTGCTTCCCAACAAAATGAATATGTTTTGCAAGTAGAAAGCATCTTATTTTACACAACTATATTTTAAAATAATGCAATGGTTTTGTAAATGGAATATTAAAGAGTTATCATACTCGTCCTTGTGTATTTATGATTTGTTTGTCTGAAATACTATCTGAACCTCATACAATGACTACCCCAAGGGTGACTGGGGTATAGAAGTATGGTCACCATTGGTCTTCCTCCGACCGGCAGTAAAACCCGTGCTAAAGTGGGGCGTCCGTTTGGCTGTGCGGGATGTACAAATTTGCAGCCACGTCCGGTCAGAATGGGGACGTTAAATCCGATGCCTCGTGTAAAGAGAGTGCCACGCTCTTTGCACGTTAAGAACCCTTGCAACAACTCTTTGAGGGGTCCGTAGGTGACCTGTTGCAAGGCTAAATTTCTGTTCCTATCCAATATACCCTCATTTCCCGTGGCAGTCTAAATTTCTCCGACCTTAATCCCTTAATCTATTACAGATCCTACCTATTGTATTTATTGTGAACTTGTTCTCGTCCTGAATATGCATGAAATATTTGCCACTGGACGTTAAGCAACCAACAATCAATCAATCAATCATACAATGACTTATACTAATCTATAGACTTATCTGCTACTATATTAATATCTATAATCTAAAGGTTATCAACACTCACTCTTTACACATCTCTTAATCTTCAAAACTAATTTTATACTTATCCTTGTCCTCAGACTAACTTATACTTAACCTTATCCACATCCTCAGACGCAATCTTATACTTAACCTTATCCTTATCAATTCCCTTAACCTTTTACTTAACCTTATCCTTATCATTACCCTTAATCTTATACTTAACCTTATCATTACCCTTAACCTTATACGTAACCTTATCCTTAGACGTTACCTTGTACTTAACCTCATCCTTACCGTTAAACTTATCATTAACCTTAATCTTATCATCAGACGACTGTATTATTATATTTTACTTCGTACATATCGTTTCTACATAGTTATCTCAACCCAATCATTTTTGTCCTCGTTACACAATACAGATATGCGTTGCTTCCCAACAAAATGAATATGTTTTTGCAAGTAGAAAGCATCTTATTTTACACGACTATATTTTAAGATAATGCAAAGGTTTTGTAAATGGAATATTAAAGAGTTATCATACTCGTCCTTGTGTATTTATGATTTGTTTGTCTGAAATACTATCTGACCCTCATACAATGACTTATACTAATCTATAGACTTATCTGCTACTATATTAATATCTATAATCTTAAGTTTATCAACACTCACTCTTTACACCTCTCTTTATCTTCAAAACTAATTTTATACTTATCCTTGTCCTCAGACGTAACTTATACTTAACCTTATCCTTGTCAAACCCTTTAACCTTTTACTTAACCTAATCCTTATCATTACCCTTAACCTTATACTTAAACTTATCCTTATCATTACCCTCAACCTCATACTTAAATTTATCCTTATCAATACCCTTAATCTTATACTTAAACTTATCCTTATCATTACCCTTAACCTTATACTTAAACTTATCCTTATCATTACCCATAACCTTATACTTAAACTTATCCTTATCATTACTCTTAACCTTATACGTAACCTTATCCTAAGACGTTACCTTTACTTAACCTCATCTTTACCGTTAAACTTATCATTAACCTTAATCGACTGTATTATTGTATTTATCTTCGTACATATCGTTTCTACATAGTAGTCTCAACCCAATCATTTTTGTCCTCGTTACACAATACAGATATGCATTGCTTCCAAACAAAATGAATATGTTTTTGCAAATAGAAAGCATCTTATTTTACACGATTATATTTTAGGATAATGCAAAGGAATTGAAAATGGAATATTAAAGAGTTATCATACTCGTCCTTGTGTATTTATGATTTGTTTGTCTGAAATACTATCTTAACCTCATACAATGACTTATACTAATCTATAAACTTATCCGCTACTATATTAATATATATAATCTTAAGTTAATCAACACTCACTCTTTACACCTCTCTTTATCTTCAAAACTAATTTTATACTTATCCTTGTCCTCATCCTCAGACGCAACCTTATACTTAACCTTATCCTTGTCAATCCCTTTAACCTTTTACTTAACCTAATCCTTATCATTACCCTTAATCTTATACTTAACCTTATCCTTATTCTTATCATTACCCTCAACTTTATACCTAACCTTATCCTTATCATTACCTTTAACCTTATACTTAAACTTATCCTTATCATTACCCTCAACCTTATACTTAACCTTATCATTATCATTACCCTTAAACCTAACCTTATCCTTATCATTACCCTTAACCTTATCCTTATCATTACCCTCAACCTTATACTTAACCTTATCCTTATCATTACCCTCAACCTTATACCTAACCTTATCCTTATCATTACCCTCAACCTTATACTTAACCTTATCCTTATCATTACCCTCAACCTTATACTTAACCTTATCCTTATCATTACCCTCAACCTTATACCTAACCTTATCCTTATCATTACCCTCAACCTTATCCTTATCATTACCCTCAACCTTATACTTAACCTTATCCTTATCATTACCCTCAACCTTATACCTAACCTTAACCTTATACATAACCTTATCCTTACACGTTATCTTGTACTTAACATGATCCCTGTCGTTAAACTTATCATTAACCTTAACATTATCATTAGACCACTTTATTATTTGATTTTACTTCGTACATATTGTTTCTACACTTCAGTCTAATCCTGGTATATATGATGAGTTTATCTAAACCACTCATTTTTTTAAACGTTTAGTAGTCAGCACTTCGGAGTCGACATTAATATCAATTACTTGGTCATTCTTATAAATTTCTTGTTTACAAAAGTATGAATTTTCGAAATACTAAGGATTTTCTTATCCGAGGCATACATGACCTTAGCCGTATTTGGTCCTACTTTTTTAATTTTGGATTCTCAATGCTCTTAACTTTGTACTTGCTAGGTTTTATAACTATTTTGATCTGAGCGTCACTGATACACATTTGACGGTACCAGAAGTTCGTCATTTTTTTCTGTGACATCACCGACTACAATTTTTAATAATCTTTTAGAATAAGACATGCTACATGTACCAATCTGATATCAGGTGTTTTATCACTATTTGTACGATTTTACGCTTGTCCTACACTACAAACTGATTTTACTTGACAAAACTCGATATAATCTCGACAGTAATTAACTGTACTCGACTTTGGTCTCGACTTGACTTAATAAGTCTGATTCAGTACTTGATAATCTTGGCATAGTCAGAATATGGTCTCGACAAATTCTCGCCCAGTCTCGACTCCGTCTTGACTTTTAAATTTAGTCTTGACTGCTCTGACACATTCCCCATTTCCATTCTCAATTTTATTTTCAATATTTTTAATCAAAATGATTGAAAATAATGTCTTTGCATTTAGAAATCCACATCATGTCGTAAATCTTCTTAAGAGAGCGTTCTGTAACTTTATTAATTTCGAGACTTTCTTGTAGAGTAATGCATTTGTGAAATACTTACGAATTAAAAAAAGAAAATTATTCAAACAA